GCAATTGGAGGACTTGTACGGGGACAACGAGCAGGATATTGGCTACGGAGGAGTGGAGAGATCCATGTGGAGGAGACGGGACGAGGACAGGAGGGAGTGGCAGGAAAGAGTGTCGCTTTACGGCGTCAAGATCATCGGCAGGCGAGAGAGTCTGCGGCGTCAGTTGCTCAGGAGACGGCATTTGATGAGAGAAGCGCGATATTACCGAGCACAATCATTTTGCCGGGCGACACGCGTTCAATACAGGAATCGAGGGATTTGCGGTCACAATTATTGGAGAGAAAATTGCGGACCTCGGACAGCGTACGAAAATTGTGGACCTCGGGTAGCACATGAAAATTGTGGACCTCGCGCAGCACACGAAAATTGTGGACCTCGTGCAGCACACGAAAATTGTGGACCGCGGACAGCGTACGAAAATTTCGGTCCTCGTGCAGCACACGACAATTGTGGACCTCGAGCAGCACACGAAAATTGTGGACCTCAAGCAGCACACGAAAATTGTGGACCTCGAGCAGCACACGAAAATTGTGGACCCCGGGCAACACACGAAAATTGCGGACCCCGGGCAACACACGAAAATTGTGGACCTACGCAATGCCATTGTAGCCGATGCCCACCATCCTGTTTTGCGGCATCAAACCACCATGTCCTACCGGGACCACCGGCTAATTGTGTCGATCCATCCGAAGGTCCGATGTGTCGTCGGTTCGATCCAACCGATGGCCCGATGTGTCATCGGTTCGATTCAACCGATAACCCGATGTGTCATCGGTTCGATCCAACCGATGCCCCGATGTGCCATCGGTTCGTTCCAAACGATAGCCCGATATGTCATCCGTTCGATCCAACCGATGGCCCGATGCGCCATCGGTTCGAACCAACCGATGGCCCGATGTGCCATCGGTTGAATCCAACCGATAGCCCAGTTCCAAGGTGCCACAAGTACCACTGTTCAACCAGCAGTTCAGAGTACCATTCAGATTCTTCTTCGAAGACCCAAGCTGACCGCAAATGCGCCAGAAAGAAACTGAGAGTTTTCGTGGTGAAGGATTCCACTAAGCACCTGACACCTCGCGTTATGAGGTACCTCAGGATATCCCTGGGCCTCTGCACTCTAGTAGGAGTCGTCTCCTACTGTAAGGACAGCTTCTTCCAGTCTGCCATCACCTCTTACGACTGCGTCATCAAACGCCGCGTCTACAACGCCGTTGGTCTCACGGGTGGCATCAAAATTGCCTTGCATTTCATAAATCCGTACGAGTTTTTCGAGAAGCTCTTGGTGAGGATCAAGACAGACGCCATCTTTGCGGGATGTGGAGGAGTGCTGGACAAGAAAGGAGTCTGGGTTGTCCTGGCCATTCTTAACATCAACGTGGCGGTGGCTGAAGAGACCGAGGCTATTGAGACCTGTCAGTGAGGCTATTGAGACCTGTCAGTGAGGCTATTGAGACCTGTCAGTGAGGCTATACACTGTTAAAAAAATGGTGAATAAACGGTCCCACGGTCATTCTAGTGGCCGGTCGCCCCGTGAAAATAAACAGTTTCGCCGTTTTTATCAGATGTTTTACGGATTTCTAGTGTTAAATTAGAATAAAACGGTGACACTGTGTTTCTTTTCACGTGCCAACCGGCCACTGTAACGCCGGAAATAACGTTAACGGTAATTTTTCTAACAGTGTAGAGACCTGTCAGGCAATGTCAAGAAATTTTCATTATTAATAACTGCAAAAACCTTTTACCGATACCAATAATTCATGTATAGTCACGTAATCGTAACCCGTGTATAGCCGTACAATCACAATTCAGGTATACTTTGTATAGTAGTGTTAAGTGTATATTAGTTTTGCTTCTACATGAGAGCGCAAACTGCTATGTGTTTTACTGTGGAGGTTGTGATAAATCCTGTTGAACTTTACCCCGTTGAACTCTGCCCCGTTGAACTCTGCCTCGTTGAACTCTGCCTCGTTGAACTCTGCCTCGTTGAACTCTGCCCTGTTGAACTCTGCCTCGTTGAACTCTGCCCTGTTGAACTCTGCCTCGTTGAACTCTCCCTCGTTGAACTCTGCCCTGTTGAACTCTGCCTCGTTGAACTCTGCCCTGTTGAACTCTGCCCTGTTGAACTCTGCCCTGTTGAAATCTGCCCCGTTGAACTCTGCCCTGTTGAACTCTGCCCTGTTGAACTCTGCCCTGTTGAACTCTGCCCTGTTGAACTCTGCCCCGTTGAACTCCGCCCCGTTGAATTTTGCCCTGTTGAACTCTGCCCTGTTGAACTCTGCCCTGTTGAACTCTACCCACCACTTGCCCTCTATATTCGAGAAACCCTCTTTTTAACCCTCAACAACTCGTATTACTTTTACTTATTATGCATCTAATTACTCATTATATATCTATTTTATTATCACATATCTACTTATATATCGATAAGTAGATATATAATACCTATATATTTTCAATTATTTATTTACTCCAGTTTATTCTTAAGTTATCTTATTTATAATGCATGTTTCTTTACACATATACTCTATGTATGTACTTACTGTACTATTGTGTGGACAGACGTGTGGTGTGTAGTTGTGTGATGCAGCAGATTTGTGGTGTGTAGTTGTGTGGTGCAGAAGACGTGTGGTGTGTTGTTGTGTGATGGAGCTGTGTGTTCACGCAGTAGTATAGTATATAGCGCAGTACAGTATAGTATCAGATAAACATGTATATTAGCATCACCGTTGACGATTAGGCAAGTGTGTCCTGTTAACGGTTGTGAATTTCCTTGTGTTCAGGAGAGAAAAGTAATAGAACGTCACACAGCGACGCTGCAAGGCACTGCAATTTTCTAATAAAATATATTATATAAGATTAAATAATCGATATGATTATAAATAGTTACCATTATTGTACCCCGCTACACTGGACATGTTGCGAAAAAGGGCATATTTGTCTGAGTTGTGCGAGTCTTTCCTTGTTAGGACAGGTCATTTTTGCTTGTTAGAACGCGAGCTTAAGCTATAACGTACATCCTTAAGCTTTTTGTGTGTAGGAACATCAAAACAACTTTTGATGTTCCTCTTAACGTTTGTAAAATTATCCCTTCTCCCACCACATGTCCCCCAGAAGTTCTTAGTTCTTGTGCGTAAAGGTTCTTAATTTCCCCCGGCTCTCGGATCTACCTCCAAACACCTGAGTTACCGCTCTGCTTGAGATCTCTCATGTTCAGTATCGATGCGCATGGATTTCAAGAAGTTCAAGTGCATGCCTATATCTTACATGTGTCAGTTCCGAATAAATAATTTATATATTTTAAATTACGCGGTTTTAATCAACATCCCCATAAAGCAACGTGTTCAAGAAGTTACTCCATGGAATATTATGTTTTGAAGTTTGTGCGACAAGCTCCCCGTGGAACTCCAAGAAACCGTCCGTACCCGTTATAAAATATGGAGCAAGAGCTTCACAGACCGTGGTACCTGATAGTACCTTACACTTTTAATCAGATATCAATTATATAAAGTACTTCTACACTACCGAACCGTTACTAGTTGAACAGTAAAAAATGTTTACTGTTCATCACAAGATAATATGGCAACGATTTGCAACTGTTACCACACGCCTCTACCCTGATCCCTTCGCCTTACCGTTAATTAGTTGTTTAATTAATATGAGCTCACTAAATGCGATGGTTAATATTAATAATAAAAAAAATGATATCAGCACTTAGCAGAGAATACATGGCTGGTAACTAGTGGCACGCGATAAAAATAAATTTAGGCAATTCTTTCCTAGATTATCTTTTGCGGACCGTTCTATTATCGCTATTTTATCCCGAATAAAGTGTACCACTTCCTGGTGTCGCTTCTTCTCCCCTTTGAGATTCCACATGTTTTTGCTAGTCGAATACAAGCACCGAGATGGCTTTTAAAGTTCCCTACCCTCCTGGCAAATGGCATCGAAACGGCGTCGATTACGAGTAGATTTCGGTGAAATAACGCTATTTCCACGTTATTTCAACGTCGGATGGCAGTTGGGACAGTAAGAGTGTTCTATGGGGAGCGATTCTCGATAGAACTAAATCAATTTCTAAGCAACTACTCTAGCTAGTGACTGGGCACTTTCTGTCCTCCTACACTGTTAGAAAAATTACCGTTAACGGTATTACCGGCGTTTCAGTGGCCGGTCGGCACGTGAAAAGAAACACTTTATCACCATAGCATAGTTCTGTTCCAAAATTTATCGAAGTTCGACGAGTCACTTCCGGGGCTTCGTTAAATTACGTAATTTTACGTTCACCGCATCTAGGGTTAGGTTTCAGATAGTATCGTTCTGTTCCAAAATCTATCGTCCATCGACGAGCCGCCGATCGACCGTGGGCTGATTCGATGCAATGGATGAATACGGACAGGCTGGTGGCGGTCCACAAATTTACTGTAAGGCTCCAACGCGCGGTGTCCGAGTGGTGCAGAATTTTTTTAAGCCCCGTAGACGATTTGGGCCAAATTATTGCAGGCTGTTTTCCCTGTGGGCTGATTGCTCTACTTTAAAGGATGTGATCTGCCTGGTGGCTTGCGGCTGATAATGTTGAGTCCAGAAGGGCATAAGGCTGCGTTCTTGAGGGAAGGGATCTTGGTGGTCCACTCGAAGCACGGCAGTGGTGGTCTCCTACTGGCATTCCGCGGCCTAAGTACGCGTAGCGGCCTAAGTACACGTAGCGGCCTCAGCACACGTAGCGGCCTCAGCACACGTAGCGGCCTAAGTGCACGTAGGGACCTAAGTACACGTATCGACCTAAGTACATGTAGCGGCCTAAGTACGCGTAGAGGCCTAAGTGCGCGTAGCGGTCAATTTTTTGTGACTGGTGTATTTACCTCGAGAAGCCGTCATTGTTTGGTTGACGGAGAGCATACCTTCTTGGCGATAAATCTACGTATCCGTTGGATTTTATTCCCCAGTTTGGGACCATTTGGACAACATGACCCATTCATGTCTCTGATCGTCACGCAGACTGTGGTCCAGCCTGGGGACCAGATCTCTGGGCCTCGGTTCGTTCTTGTCGCAGTTCTCAGAACTTCTGAGAACCGTGCTGCTGTCGCGCCGTCATGCTGCAGTGCAGACCCCTGCAGCACCTGCAGCAGCGCTGCACAAACACCACCTGCTGCACGCGTCCCCCGACCAGACCTTCTCCTGCAATCTTGCAATCACCGAATTTGCAGGTGCGTCTCTGGAACCTGCAGTTACTTAGCAGGTTAGTTTTGAATTTATTGAAACTCGGGATGATGAAAGTAGTGGTGATAATGAAACTGGTAACTAGTGTCCCCTGTTGCAGTTGGAGGCGAGAGGCGTGAGTCCACTCGTCCCCCAGAGATATGGCGCACCCATGACAGGTGGGTGACTAGCATGACAGGTGGGTGACTAGCATGACAGGTGGGTGACTAGCATGACAGGTCATACAATCCTTCCATCATGCTGCAAATTCGATCGTGTCTCCTTTTACGATAATACTTGAGTTCTGATACGACTGTGGTTGTCCATCCTCAAATTCTGATTCGAATTTAACCCTCCACCCTTTATTTGTGTAACTGTCAAAGCTCATTGATTAGGCTCTACCTGAGGATCGGGTTACGGGACTGAGGTCCTGAAAGATAAGTAAGACACATGTGCCTAGATAACATCTTGATATACGGGGTGGTTTTACATGAGTTAGATACAGAGGTATAAGCTACGGCATCGACCGTAAGGTAGGAGAAATCAACCGACGCGTTACATCGCGGAGCGCTTATCAATTACTGGGGGGGCTCTTACTAAGGTTACCAGCCCTTATATAGCCTTCAGCTTCCGCCCTCAACTAAGGTCTTGATCGCGTGATCTATCACGTGATGTCTTTCAGGGGCCATACTTTCAAAACTGGCTAAGTGAACGTAAGTACTTACGCTCTATTTTCTTGTCTATGATTGGTGGAGTTTGCTTGAAAGGCCGTCAATGATTGGCTGATGAACTATCGATCTTTTAACTGTTTTTGAAAGTAAAACCCTCAGATTCTTACTCGTGTCTAGTACTTTTCCATCAATCTCTATCATGTCAAGTGAATATTAGGTCCAAATTACATATGGTCTAATCATTGAATATGATTATAATGACACGCCAGATTGACACCAACATAACCATATATTTTTCTTTACTCAATAATTTGTTTCTATTTCCCCTGACTTGCTTCAGTGAGGGCGAGGGCAGCAGCGAGGGCTACGACCTGTCTCTTATACACATCTAGATGTGTATAAGAGACAGGATTATTATGGAAGTAGTGGTGGTGATGATCATGAAAGTANAATGTAGATATTTTTATTAAATACTGAGGGAATTTAGCTTACCTATAGGTACACTTTACTATTTTTATATATGTAAAATGTAGATATTTTTATTAAATACTGAGGGGATTTAGCTTACCTATAGGTACACTTTACTATTTTTTATTTATGTAAAATGTACATAGTTTTATTATATGCTGAAGGAATTTAACTTAACTATACTCATGCCCCCCCCAAAGTTAAATAAAAAAATCTATATACAAGTATTTCAGGTAGTCTTTATTATTTTTTATATATCTAAACTGTACATATTTTTATTATATACATGGGAAATTTAGCTTAACTATAGGTACACTATACTATTTTTTATATACGTAAACTGTACATAGTTTTATTATATCCTGAGGGAATTTAACTTAACTCATGCCCCCCCGTGCCCCCCCCTCAGGGCGGTGAGCAGGAGGGCGTCCCTAAGTGAGGGGGAGGTGGGGGGCGAGGGGTGGGCGGAGGCGCCCCCCGACGACATGGAGCTCATCCTGAGCGTGGCGCGGGAGCAGGACGCCCTCATGGCCTACTACTACCTGGACGAGCACAACCAGGTGCCTCCTGCTGGGGTCCTGTGGAGGGGTCCTATATAGGGATCTTGTGGTGCTATAGTTGCCCTAATGTCCTATGGTCCTGTAGGGGTCCAGTAGAGGGATATAGGGGTCCTGTTGCTATATAGGGGTCCTGTAGAGGGATGCTATATAGTGATGTTATATAGGGAGACAGGTCCCCCGGCAGCGAACCTGAAGTGGACCAGCACGTCGAGGCTTGATGTGTGACGTCACGAAAATGACGTTGAAACGACGTTATTTTGACGTTATGTCGACGTTATATCAACGTTATGGCAACGTTATTTCAACACTATTTCAGTGTTATTTCGACGTTATCCCAACGTTATTTGAACGATATTTCGACGTTATTTTAACCTTATTTCAATGTTATTTCAGCTATATTGTAACGTTAAAATAACGTTATTTCAGCGTTGTTTCAACGTTATTTCGACGTTATTTCAACGTTATTTCAACGTTATTTCGACGTTATTTCAACGTTATTTCAACGTTATTTCGACGTTATTTCAACCTTATTTCAACGTTATCATCAACGTTATTTCAACGTTATTTTAACGTTATTTCTGCTTCATTTCAACATCAGATGCCTAGGGCTCAAGTGATGTTATTAGCTTACATATCAACTAGCAGTTAACGAGGTAATGAAATATTTTTTATATAGAAAGGTGATAGTGGATTAAACATGTTGGCTAGTTAGTACCTACTAACCACCATCACAACACTGCAACATCATCACCACCACGCTGGTTCAATGAACATGTATGCAACATGTCGCTGGTCTCATTTACCCTCTCAACAGCAGCCCTCAGAAGTGAGGGAAAATCGATGTGACGAGACGACGTTGCGTGGGCAGCGTTAATGATGAAGTATTAATAAGTAGTAAATCAGCAGCAATAAGTAGCAAAGTAGTAATAATAAGTAGTAAACTAATAGGGTTAAAGTAGTTAAGTAGAGCCCTTATAATCTGAAGTGCAGAATAAACACCCATCGTGTGTAATGAAAGTACTAAGGATATAAAAAGCATGAAAAATCGTAACATTTTTACTTTCAAGGAAAACGCATTTTTTTGAGTTAAACACATAATATATCAACTTCAGGTGACCTAGAGTATAAATATCTAGAACAAACTAGGACACCAACGTGTATCTTGTACTAAAGTTGCAGCTATATTGCCTTCAAGAGCATAATAAGCTAAGAGCGTTTTTGCGCTCAACAGTCAAACAACACTCAGAGAAACCTGTGAAATTTAGTCTAAATAGTGATGCAAATTTTTTCTTTTGTTTGGGTCATCTTCTGAATAAGAGCGCATCTTGCTACGTCCACTCGTTGCTTGTTTTGTGAGTTAGGAAGCGAGTCGTTGCCTGTACAATATGACCTGGGGCCATACTTTCAAAACTCGCTAAGCGAACGTAAGTACTTACGCTCTATTTTCTTGTCTATGATTGGTGGAGTTTGCTTGAAAGGCCGCCAATGATTGGCTGATGAACTTACGATCTCTTAACTTTTTTTGAAAGTATGGCCCCTGGACATTTTTTGTGTGAAGGCAGCGTATCAAAAATTTTCGCCACTGAACACCAACTTAGAGGTTTTGTGCGCTCGCTGAAAACATGAATAAAAACTAAACTAGTGATCCCTCATGCCTCGGGAAGAGTACCACCAGCAGTACCTTAACGTACCACTTGTGGTACGTGATGTTTGGTGGTAATATGAACTGTGGTGTGTGGGCATCACAGTAAAGGAACCGCTGGTCAGGACCACATTACGAACACGCATGAAATTCACGTAGCTTGAGTATTTCTACTAGTTGATATAATATACTCTCAGGGAACTGAATGGATTATATTGTCCAAATATTGACACGTTTTGTTTGTAGCACTACTGATACGTATTTTGCCGGGCAGAAGTGGGTCATAAAAGCCTATACAATTTAAAGGTTAGGAAGTGGATCGCTATTTAAACAAGTCTTGCTATGACACGAAACCGATTTTTAATTTTTCATATTACGCCCACGTTTATCTTACGAAAAAGAAATTCAAAACCCGTACAGAGACATGTCATCTAAATTGTTTTGTAGAAATATCCTCCATTAAAAATGATGCTAGTAGTTACTCTTTGTTACCGATAACATATTTAAGATTTACCTGATACACAAAAATTCCTTAGCCAACTATTAAATCTTCCAACTTGTACACTACTTGATTCAACAAGTTGTACGTTACATCTGTCGAACCGTCGCAACATGTTAGAGATTTTTCAACTTTTCTGCAACTCTGGAGGTTCAGACGCAATTCTCCACATCTACGCCGCGTTTCACCGTGCAGACAAAACTGGAGTTCACGGTTACGGTTACAAGTCTGGACTGCAGGGAAGTGTTGACAACATTCAACTTCATCAAATTGTGGTTCATTACATTGAGGTTCCGTGAGGCGCTGTCTGCAACTCGGAACACCTTTTGAGTGTTGTCTGCTGCAACACGGAACTTCTTTCGCGTGTTGTCTGCAACACCGTACATCAGTCGAGTGTTGTCTGTTGCTACGCGGTAGTTCAGTTGACGGTAGCGTACAACACTGGGCTTCTATAACATGATTCCAAAGTTCGTGTTCCATTACCAGCTGCTTACAACACCTTGGGTCTGAGCTGACTTGTTTACAACGCTGAGTTGGTGAACAGTGAAAGTTTGTACAGAATTTATTCTGCATCCTCCGGGCGTTGGACGAACAGCGTTTTTCCCTAGCAGATACGGAACCATTTTTTTCCAAGAAAAACCGAGAATCTTCTTCTTCAAAACCCAAGCTTTTACTTTCTAGTGATAAAAAACAGGCATTGCTCTCTCTATCAACAAACGGTGAATGTTCTTTAGAAGAAAAAGAAGTATTATTCAATCTTGAATCGTGCGAGAACCGTTCTTCTAACGCGTAAACAGAAGAGTTTCCCTTCAGAACTGAATCTTGTAGCGAAGAAAACGCGAAATTTTCTTTTTCGACAGAAAACTCGGAGAGAATTTCAGGGTAAACTTTAGCAGTTCGTCGTTTGCTGCAAAGATCGCGCGGGGAAAGAGAGGCACTTCTTCTGACGCAGAGTCGCTCTTCCAACTTGGGATATGTTGAAGTCAAGTGTGACATCTTGGACCGCGGTGGACAGAAGGGCAACGTGGTGGACAGAAGGGCAACGTGGTGGACAGAAGGGCAACGTGGTGGACAGAAGGGCAACGTGGTGGACAGAAGGGCAACGTGGTGGACAGAGGAGCTGAGGTGAGTCAAGGAGCCAAAGTGAGTCAAGATTGATGAAGCGATGAGGGGCGTTTGTTGAGTCCGGCGAGGCTGTCGAGAAAAATAAGGCACAGTTAAATTCCCAACCAAGGGCCAAAATATCGAATATATTAAAGAGTTTGGAACTCAGCTAATCACTGATGACTTTAACAGCAAAACCCACCAATCATAGACGATAAGTTGGATGCTACGTGTACTTAGGCTCTACATGTACTTGGGCCGCTACGTGCACTTAGGCCGCTACATGTACTTAGGCCGCTACGTGCACTTAGGCCGCTACGTGACAGCATCAATACTTCGCCGGGTGCTGACACTTTATTCATGCCACGTAACCTATTTCGACCACGCAATTAAACTCCCACACTCCCTTCATATGCATTCCCCTCCTAAACTAAACTTTTGGGGTAACGAGACTGGGTGGTAACGTATTTTAGTGGAACACGTAACTATTTTTCACACTCCCCTCCCCTCCCCTACACCCCCCTTCACACGTCAATACCCCGTCACTAATAACACGTCTGCGGTCTCCAAATCAATGCACTGACACGCGCACCAGCGGGCACAGCTGGTGCATAGCAGCGTGGATACGTGCAACAGCGGCTGGTGTATCAAAAAATATTATAAATGAAAAAGATTATGCAAATCACTATGAAAACGATGTGAAAATTTTTTAAATTATAATATAACAGTGATCGAGACAAATTCAATAAAAATTTGTTATCATTTCAGTGTTGAGGATACGGGCAGCTATGTTAACGTGGTGTCTTGTCAGTTAAATGTATGAATTAGTTATACTTTGTGTACAATTTATATATTCCACTCCCCTTTTAAAATATATGTTAAAATATAAGTATTGAAACTATGGACAGGTATTGTCGCCTTCAGCTTTTGACTTTAATGAATTAGAGGGAAAACCACTATTTTAGTAGAGCTGAATATTTGTTAATATAAATGCCAGATAAGCTGCACATCATCTCTTATATTTAGTTAAAATAAAGTAATTTGATTAATTTTAAATAAAACAGTTACGAGCAACATAACTTAAATATTACTATTACCTCACCTCGTACTATAGAGCGACAAACACCCTCACACTTCGGCAGCTCACGGAGCACTGGCGGCTGGCGCTCGTCGTGACATGAACTCTACGGAATTTACCCGCACATTTCGGATATAAACACTGGCACGCAGAGCCTTGTGGTTAGGTACTCCCTACTTATTTTATAATTAATAATCAGCGCCAATTTTTCTGCCGGCGTAGTCTCAACTTTTAATAAAATTTAAGATTTTGCTCATGACCCGAAATGACAATCGGCACAAAAACAACGTCTTTCGCGACAGTATTTACATTTTGGGCCCACGGTGACGTCACAGTCGGAACAACAAACGACATCCGCAAAGAGCAGCTGCGCGTGGGTCAACCTTGTATTAATTCAACCATGAAAGTACCCCCCTAGGGAAAATTTATCATTTCTCGGGGTAAATGGTTAGGGCGACGAAAGAAGTCAGAGTGCATCAATGTCGTGTTTTTAATTACCTAACTTTAACAGTTTAGGAACCAGACTTGGGACTAAAAAACAACATATGATGAATTCGAGTCGGGTTAGAATTTTGTATAAATGACCTCACATTCGTAACGAAGAGACTGGGTGGTAAGAACGGCCACTTTTAGCAGTGGGTTGCTGGTTCGAGGCCCAGATAGCTGCGAAAATTCTCAAAGTCTAGAACCAGCGACATGCCAAACTCGATTTTTCTGTAAAGACAGCCAATGTCTTTCTTTTTGTATTTTTATTAAACCCTGCAATTTGAAATTTATATTAAAATTTTTAATTTAAGATTGTCGGGATGTGACAAAGTTCCGGGAAAGTAAAATCACATGTGAATGCATTTACTTTGAAGTGTTAAGAAGATCTACAAGACCGTAGCATATTACAAGGCAGCTTCATTTGAACTAAATAATAATTTGTGTGTGAAGAGAATTTGTTCACTTAAAGGAACTTAACTGATCTATTTAAGACAATTAATCTATACATTTGTTATGTAAGAGCCTATATAAATAAACATTGTACTCAATCAAAAACTTATTACATTTGTATGTACTATCATTACATTACATATGTACCATCTGGAATTCAACTAGTTGGAATGATGGGAATGTGTAAATTCGAAATAAATACATATAAGTTCAGAAGAGAGGCGGGCTTGAAATCAATAACTTTTAAAATCAATATCTGGCAAAACTGAGATATCTATTATATATAGAATTTATATATAGTAATCTAGTATTTATATAGAAGGCAACCTGTGACTGCTTAACATTAAAAATAAATTTATTCTTATTTATTACACTCAGAGTAATGAGCGACACTATGTCTAATTAGCGACGCAGTCTTTGCCTTGCATTACAATCACTATAATATACAGTATATTTATAAATGTATATAAGTATATATATTCACGCACAGAACATCAACGAATAGTGCAGGCAATAATCTGAAATTTGTTCGTTTAAGACGATGTTTAAATGGAGATATAAAATAATATTTGATAACATGTTAAATATTGTATATAGGCTGGCATTAACAGCACACAAATGCAGCCATTTAACTAATTCTTGTTAAACAGAAGAAACAAAATATTTTAACGAAGTAAAAAACAGCCAAACTGGAGTAGATCAACCGATGAGAACGAAAACAATGATGAAATTCAACGTCGATTCTACAAAAACAAACGTGGCAATCAAACATAATCAGCGAACAGTCTATACAAATAATCACTACATATAAGACAATATATATTAATATATTATCACCAGAAATAAAACAATATATATAATCACTGGATAACGAAAATCACGTAACGCTTGCATTGGACCGGAGGACCTGAATAAAAACTTGCATTCTGAATTGAAGGAAAGTTTTGTTGAGCTAAAATTTTATTATTTTATTTTATTATTTGAAATTTTATTAGTTGAAATTATTCAACAGAAATAAATTTTACATTGGACATTTAAAAGACGCAACATTTGCTGTACACTGAGGAGTTGATGAAATGGGCCTCAGACTTCAGAGCAGAAGGCGGGCCTCAGACTTCAGAGCAGAAGGAGGGCCTCAGACTTCAGAGCAGGAGGGCCTCAGACTTCAGTGTAGAACGCGGGCCTCAGACTTCAGAGCAGAAGGAGGGCCTCAGACTTCAGTGCAGAAGGAGGGCCTCAGACTTCAGTGCAGAAGGAGGGCCTCAGACTTCAGTGCAGAAGGTGGGCCTCAGACTTCAGTGCAGAAGGAGGGCCTCAGACTTCAGTGCAGAAGGTGGGCCTCATAGGCCCTACATTAGGAGGTGGGCCTCAGACTTCAGTGCAGGGCCTCAGGACCTCATAGGCAGTGCAGAAGGTGGGCCTCATAGGCCCTACATTAGGAGGTGGGCCTCAGACTTCAGTGCAGGGCCTCAGGACCTCATAGGCCCTACATTAGAGGTGGGCCTCAGACTTCAGTGCAGAAGGTGGGCCTCTCGATGCCCAGGCCCCTGAAGGCGGCGGGCGCGAGGGCGGAGAAGGACAGCCCGATGCAGATGTACGTCAGGAACTTGTAGCCGCACTCGATGAAGCAGTGCTGCACACGCGACAAAGGGCGCCGCCCTTTGTGTGGACTGGCGGACAAAGGACACTGCGCAAGGTGGGGCTCTTGCGAGGGACAGTGGACAACAGAGGGACAGTCCCCTTGAGAAGAAGGTGAGGGTAGAACCCTTTCCCCCTCTGGGGGAGGAGCTACAGAGGGAGTTTTGCCGTCGACGGGAGGACAGGATGGGGGCTGTACCGCCCCCCCAGCAGGGGGGGACGCGGTGGTCTGAGCTGTCGAAGGCAGGTTGTGGCTAAGGTAGTCTTCGATGTCCACCTGGGGGAGGATATTATGGGTAACATGGGTGGAATATGGGCGGAATATGGGTGGAATATGGGTGGAATATGAGTGGAATATGGGCGAAATAAAAAATTTATAGGTGGAATATCACCCATAAATATTTAATGTCCACAAGGATTATTCATGAATGCCTGGTCTATTTATGTAAAACCAAATTTCGACAACCAATGTAGAACCGCAATTTTATTTTACCAGTCGACGCACGGCACTGGAGAGGCTTAACAAGCGCAAACTGAATTAAATTAAGAGGTAACTTCTATTAATTTAAGCATTAATAATAAATAATATAATAGAAGTATAATAATAATAGTTATAAGTATGTTTAATAAAAATATTATAACAGCAAATATTTGCCTGCATCCTACATGCATGGCGGCGCACAAGGCCTTCATGGCCACAGGTCGCACCACGCAGCGCACCAGCAGGATAAGCAGGAGCCCCAGCAGCGTGCGCCCCACAGCCAGCCCCACCATCCCCCCACTGGGCCACAAGATCGGGTAGCGAGGGTCTAGGGGGTCAGGGTCTTGAGTGGGGCCAGGGTCATCAGAGAACACGGGCCCCACGGGGGGGATGGGGGCGATGGGGGTTATGACCCCCGTCTGGAAGTTGAGCCACGCCCCCATGAGGGTTCCACACCCCACCCCCAGGATGACGGCCGTGTCCCCCCTGCGGGGGAGGAGGGGGTGAGATTAGTGGGGGGTAGGGGTGAGTGGGCGTTAAGCACCCCCTGGTCAGTGACAAGCGCCACAACTTCAAAAAAAAAAACTAACTGACCCGCCTACACGGCAGCCACTGTAGCGGCGCTCGAGACGGTCCCTCCCCCCACCTCGTGCGGCGGAGAGTCTACCTTAAGGGAAGTCCTGACGACCGCTGCCAGACAGCATATCCCTGCCGGATTCAGGAAGGACGTCTCCCCATCAGTCAACCCTAGCACCCGGCCCATGCAGCAACGGGATGACATTAGGGCGAGTAACCCAACCGACCCACGGCTCCCAGATCTCAACCTGGAAATAGGCCTCGCTATACAGGCCCATGCCAGGAACGCATGGCAGACACATCTTGCGTCTTGCAGCAGGCGTACCAACCAATCCAAACATTGTAATCTCCTCCGCTCCCTAGCCGGAAAGAGGAACCGTCCTCCCCCCAATCAGCCAATCCAATTTGGTATCCCTCTCCTCCCAACGCAAGATCTCCTCCGCCTTCTGCAAGCTTTTCACTTCGGTCGCTCCTCACTCTCAGGGCCCCTCCACCCGCCGCCTCATTCGCCGAATACGAGCCCAACATCCCCTCGACTTCTCCCCTTTCACCCCCGACATGGTGAAGCTCGCCATCGCAGCCGCCAACAACTCTTCCGCTAGGGGTCCTGATGGCCTCACGGTGCTTCATCTTAAGCACCTCGGCCCGCGTGGCCTCCAGTTCCTCAACTGGGTCTTCTCCAATGAGGACATTGTTGCCCCCTACCGAGCCATCACCCGCCCAATCCTCAACTACGCGGCCCCCATCTGGTACCCTGTTGCCTCACGCACAGCAGTTGCCAGCCTGCAGATAATTCAAAACACTGCATTGAGACTAGCTACCGGCTGCCTCAAAATGGCCCTGATCTCCCACCTTCACCAGGAGACCGGCGTCCTCCCATTAGCCGCGCATCTGGACCTGGCTTGTGCCCAGTTCCTCGCCAGCGCCCTCCAGCCCTCCCATACCTCATTCCCTATCGTTTCTGCCCCTGCCCCCCCCGGGTGACCGCCCCATGAAAGCCTCCATCCAGTCGAGGTTCGGTCACCTGGTAGTATCAAAGTGTGTCATAGTGACCCACCTAGCAGGGTTCCAGGTGGCGGTGGCGGGGTAGGCGGCGACGGCGGCGAGGGTGAAGCAGAAGACCACGACTGGGGCCTGAGGCCTCGTCAGCAGGGCCTCGTCCAGGGCCCCCATCGTGGGGACCAGCAGCACCAGCAGCAGGAGGCCCAGCAGCGCCCCACACACCACGTCCTGGGGATATATATATTAAAATAAATAAAAAATATATTATAATCTATAAATAATATATAAATAAAGCAGCACCCCACACACCACGTCTGAGTGTTATATATTATTAGATATAAATATTATATAAATATTTTATATAAATCACACATAAATATTATAATCTATAAATAATATACAAATACTTAGTATATTTCTTACTATATTTAATCGTTTATTTATATATTAATATTTATATATTATTTATACATATTAATATGTATAAATAATATATAAACATTTTATCTATAAATAATATATGAATATTAATATATAAATAAACAGTTAAATATAATAACAAATATTAATGTCCCCCTCATTCCCCATATTGTGGCCAACTTAGCGATAGTTTTTTTATTAACTATTGTTTATTCTAATATTTTTAACACGTAAGTTAAGCAAAACGCATTTGTTTGCAGCTAAAAACACAGTGAACATAATATGATTTCCATGATGTATGATAAGTATGATATATGTCATATGATAAATATGATATTCAGATATATCAAATGTATGATGATATATCACTATTATGACATATCATATGTATGATGATATATCACTATTATGACATATCATATGATAAGTATGATACGGTATAACATATGTATGATGATATATCACTATTATGATGTATCATGACATATATATGATAAGTATGATACATCATATGTATGGTGATATATCACTATTATGACATATCATATGATAACTATGATATATCATATGTATGATGATATATCATTATTATGACATATCATATGATAAGTATGATATATCACTATTGTGATATATCATGGCATATTATATCATAAGTATGATATATCAAATGTATGATGATATATCACTATTATGATGTATCATCATGACATATCATATGATAAGTATGACATATATGTATCATGACATATACATGATGTATGCCCACCAGCAGGGTATGCATGCCCAGGTATATGCGGGAGGCGCTGACGCTGAGGGACCACAGCAGGACCACAGCAGCGCACCACTGCCAGCTCATCTGTGGTACACAGCAGGGTAATACACACTCATATACACTGAGTAACCCGGTAACTCGCTGAGGGTAATACACACTGGTATACACTGACTCTATACACTGAGTAACCCGGTAACTCACAGGTCTCCTTAGTCGTCAGTCACTCCCGTTACCTAGTAACTCCCCGTTAGATGGTAACACCTCTTACCCTTTAATTACCTGGTAACCTTCATTACCTCGTCACCTGGTAACCCCCCGTTACTTAGTAACCCTATGTTACCTAGTAGCCCCCAGTAACCCCCCTGTTACCTAGCAGCCCCCAGTAACCCCCCCGTTACTGGGGGGATTACCAGTCCAAGCACTGGAATCTGCTACGCTCCCTAGCAGGAAAGCGTAACCGTCCTCCCCCCAATCAGCCAATCCAATTTGGTCTGAATACCCTCTCATCTCAGTGCAAGATCTCCTCCGCGTCTGCAAGTTGTTCACTTCACTTGCCCCCCACTCCCAAAGCCCCTCCACCCGCCGCCTCATACGTAGAATCCGGGCGGAACATCCCCTGGACAGGGACTTCTCCCCGTTCACACCCGACATGGTGAAGCTCGCAACCACTACCCTCTCCCACTTTCCGGTATCTAGAAAAATACCGGTATTTCGTACAGGTATTTAGAAAAAAAAATCCATGAGCTATAGTTATCTTTGAATGTCAACTGAAGAGAGAGTAGTCGGCCCAGCAGCACCAAACTTTACCAGAACATGTACAAGATGTGTATCAAACCTAGGCATTCACTCATATATTTATTTGATCTTACAATTTTATTATGAATCCATTTTTCTCCGCTGGTTTCAAATGGAACCACACGGCATTATTGGGTTAACACATGCAGTAGAGAAAAACATTTCCTTCTTTCTTCATTTATTTGCAAATTCCATGACTTTCAATAACCTGAAATGAAATCTCATGACTTTCTAGGATTTCCATGCCCGGTACCTATGCACCTTGCCCCAATCACTGATGTGCTTCATATTTTTGTTAATAATAACAGGCCTCTACATTCATTTCCTTATGCATTCATCCATTTTATTCTTCATTTATTCATTTCCTTCTCCATTCATTCATTTTGTTCTCCATTCATTAGTTGGTCAAATAAAAAATATTTATATAGCTGCAATAAGAAGCTTGTTCAGCCTGNGCGCTGTACGAGTCACCCACCAGTTGTATACTTCACACAGCAGCGCTGTATGAGTCACCCACCAGTTGTATACTTCACACAGCAGCGCTGTATGAGTCACCCACCAGTTGTGTACTCTGTATTTTGGGCTGGGGGCGCTGGCTGTGTGCTCCGAGTCCCCCACCATGCCAGGGCCCAGCAGACGGTCACACAGGCCCTGACTCTTGTGGTCTGCAACACAATACAGGCTATACAGCACACAATACAGACTAATATAGACAAGAATACAGACTATACAGCACACAATACAGGATAATATAGATGAGAATACTATGATGGACAGTTATACTTCAAACTTTATTTTGGTCTGTACAGAGCCAGAGTAGAAAATAATGTATTTCACAAAATTGTAGGCTTCTTTTGCGTCAATAGAAAACTAGTGTTCAACTAAAATTTGACCTGCTTAATCCTCTTCCAGCACCCAAATTTCCACCTCTCAACTTTTGGCCACTTGTTTGAAAAATAAATACTTCTCAAATGCACCTGGTATAATTTTTATCAAGCCACTTAAAGGTTAAATAAGTTAGATAAAATAGGATACAAGATATTTGCTCAGACCTTTGGTTGCATGGCTGGAACAGTCATCGTCTGCATCAAGATCATTGCTGCAGGATTTCCTCCTTCTGAAAAGTTTGATCATTTATTGAAGCATCAAAAGATATACAACATATATCATCTTTCTATGATGTATACTAATTAATAAACAAAGTTTATGATAAAATAAAGTGATAAAATATATCACATAAAATAAACAATGTTGCACTAATATGAAAAAATTGGTTAAAAAATGGCTATATTAAAAAGTACAGTATATTTCAAATAATAACTAATTAACTGTCTCAGTTTAATGAGAAATTGAACACGCAGAGAGTAAGGAAAACAGTCTATATTGAAACTGAATCAATGTCAAGTTACTGATATTATTAATTTGAACAGATATGGCTTCTTCCATGATTAATAAAAAAGGAAAAAGCTTTAATTGTCTTATTTGAGCCACAACTTTTTGTAGTGGCTTTTGGTGTTGTGTTGTTATTTCAACTGTTGGGAATTATAGGGGAATTTTTTAAACTGTTGAGAATTTTATGGAATTTTTCAGCCTAAACTGAGGGATATATGGGTCTTTTGGAGGATTTTAAAAGCTACCATTCATAGTAACTTGCAGTAACAGGTCAAGCAAGGAAAACTAATTCCTCTCATATCAAGAATATTTTCAAATGAAAACTTTTTATAATTTCTGCAGTGTTTCAGGGTATTTAAAGCTGCACGTGACAGCAGAGAGCTATCAAATTTTTCAGTCTGTGCACCACTAAGCTCATAAATATTTTCAAATAAAGACTTATTAGACTTATTAAAATTTCTGAAGCCTTGCACCACTAAGCTACTCACAGGGCAGCGAGTTCCTTCTGTGGCTCATCTTGCTCAAGACTCTCCAATCCAAAGTATTTCTGCACAAAATTAACACACATTTCAATTTAATGTTTAGCAACACAAAAGTTATTGATTTAATTATTTTGGCATTACACACATGTATTTAAATGGAACCAAACAAGCACTATTAGGATCATCATGTACAATCACTTATTTCTGTACGTGCATAGCCACATACCTACCAAAAAGATACAATCACATCAGCACACATTCACATCATCACATGTCTGTTCAAACTATTTCTAATGCACAACCCATTATTTATATACATGATACATCATTTGTCACAGCCTGCAGATTGAAAAGAAGACAACACAATTATTATTATTATTATTATTGAAGATTTAGTGCCTAGACCAGGAGTCTCCAAACTTTTCACAGTGCGGGCCACATTATATATTTCCAATATTTATGCGGGCCAAATGAATAAAAAAATCAATTCCAGTAATTTTATTTACCTAAATATTAAGGTATAACCATGGAAAATTTAAAACATATATTTTGTAAAAAATCAGGGTAAACTAAATAGATGCCTGTCTTAAGTTTTATTTAGCCAAATTAGAGTGACGAATGATGCTGGCGTTTTGACTTCAAAATTTAATTAAAATCCGGTTTCAGATTAGCTTAGCCAATTGTAAGAATTGATTTCAAGTGATCATCAGACAAATTTGCTTGATAGTTAGATTTCACATACTTCATTTTGGAAAATATTTGTTCACACAAGTATGATGAACCAAAAATGGACACAAAACTACATGCAAACTCTTTCAAATTTGGAAACTGATCTGGCTGCAGGCATTTATAGAACTCAACCAGAATAGACTCCTTCTTGATACTTATCCTTCAGTCTGTCATCCACCTTGAGATCAATAATTTCCATTTGAAATTGAGTTGAAAGATTTTCAGCATTGCAGTCAAATGGATTACGAAAGAGCTGGGCTCCCTGAAACGGAAGCAGTGAAGCCCCACTCGGCCGCCATCCCCACAACATAGTTATACACAACTGATTGGTTGTAATGAACAACACATACCTACCAGCATTAGTATCTGTACGTCACACTATCAAGAGAGAGGAAAACTGACTCGGGCTGAGCGCCACTATATAGACAGCAGGCCCCAGCTTTGAATAATTTTGCGATGCCATTCGTACAATAATTATTCATTCATTTCACGATTTCATCCGGCGGGCCGCAGGCCGGATGAAATTGTGTGGCGGGCCGGATGTGGCCCGCGGGCCATAGTTTGGAGACCCCTGGCCTAGACCACCTGATCCTTCAATAATTCTTACCAAAACTACTTGTTATGATCTATTTAAAGAGAAATGAATCAGCAAGATCTTCTGAAGACAAAAAAATGTTGATATTAATCAACTACCAACTTACCAAGGGCCTTACAAGTTACAACTAAAGAAAAATATATACAGTCCCTCACTTTTGGGACCCTGGAATGGCTGGGAATGCTAGGATGAGGGATCTTATGAGTGACAAAACAAAATCCTACATAGTAATTAAATTTTATTTTTTTAATGAAATAAATATTCAAAATATATAAAAAACTTGTGCAATAATTAATTTCCATAATTTGTAGTTAATCATGTTTTAACTGCTACAAGCCCTATCTAAAATCTGGATAAGAAAACAAGTTAGACAACTACACAGGGACAGGGTGACTTTGTCAACAGTCAATTGTGCCACTAAATCTAAAATCATCATCAGAAATGTAGGTCAACATAGTTACAGAAAATTTATGACATGATCAAATGATGATTAGTTCATTTTTGGGACTTGAATAAATATCTAAGCCTAAGTTTATATAAATAAAATAAAGTATGAAACATAATCTATAAAATTAATAAACAAACTAACCTGGAAAGAAACAACCAGTTCAGGAGACTGCAGCCACCGTATCACCTCCATCGCTGACGACCTACGCACGACTGGGTGTTGCAGTGTTGCAGTGTTTACAGTACGAAAACAGAAACAAATCTTCAGTCGCCCAGGAAACAGAAACAATTCTTTCTCCAAACACAAACTGACAATCTATGCATTACATGATCCTCTTTGATCCTTATATGTGACATAAAATAATTCTATTTTTAAACATTTTGTGAATGAGGAAAGGTCGAATCTATGGCATTTTTGAAGGCCCACAACTTAACAAGAAAAATTTAGAGAGTTTTCAACGAGGCGGCGATAAAAAAGAAATGCGGAACGTTATCAGCATATCCGCTGTGAGATGAGTCCGCATTAAAATATTTATAAAAGGCTTGAATGGTCATGAGATTAATAAAACGATAACATCGAATTTCTTCAGAGTTCTATCATGTAGCAGGCGTATTGCAATGCTTTTATGGATACCTTTGCGTCGGTCAAAGAAATTATATTCCAAGTCACGAAGACTAGGTCGTGAGTGCGAATAAATTACCCGAGAGTTACAATTATGCTGAATTTTTGACATTCCATTAGTCTCTTGCCTAAAACCAAAATTTAGCTAAAAAAAATTAAACCATTTATGTCCCAATAAAGTATATGAGGACCAGGGTTATATGTTTTTAATTACTGGAGGCCAAGCCCTTAGGTTCTTGGGACACATCGTTGAACTTCAACTATGCTTTGAGCAGAGAGACAAGTCCCATAATATTTATGAATATATTCAAGTTATTAGGGCCTGGTTGTATGAGTATTCGTTTAAACATATATTTAGCCCACTTTATATTGATTTTTTCGATATTCATGGTAAAACAGCAATGATGTTAACAAACTAAAGATTATTAAGGCAAGCTTGAGAACATTGAGGATGATTGAAGCCCCATAAGATAAGGCCTGATGACGCCACGGACGAGAACTGTCTTATTTCGAGTTCTTATAAATTAGTTTAGAATTCAACACTTTGCTTTGTGAGCGCCTTCATGAAGAACGGTTGGTTTCTTTAGGG